TCACTTTATATCCTCATCAGTCATCGCACACAAATTCACCTTCATACAAATAATGTGATTGTGAACGTCTTCAGTGTTTAAAACTTGAAACAATACATATGAGATGTCATGGAGATGTCCAATTTGAATGAGGCAGTACTTGCACTTCTTGCCAGTTTCTACCTTCTGGATTTTGATTATTCGCGGATGCAGGAAATTGGTTTGAATGTTTTTCAGCATTAGATTTTTAAGACACAAATGTGTCACAAGACATTGCCAATTTGTTTAAGTCGACGATGACAAGCTACCAGAGTTTCAAAGTTGATATGCAATAAGCTGGTACTAATACAGTATGTACTGTATGATGAATATCATGTGGTATATATTTTTCTGTATGAATATCATGTGGTATATATTACTATATGATGAATATCATGTGGTATATATTTATATATATTTATATACAGTATAAACTATTGCATGCAAGGTGCCATGTATTCTTTATAATTGCTTCCAGTCTATAATCAATATATCATTACTATAACTTGTTGGTCCTTATAAAATAAAAATATACCTCTTCCTTAAACTAAAAAATTTTAAAGAGAAAATATTTATAAAATAAGAAATTGAGTTTTCTTATTTTAAGAAATATCTCATGATTTTCTTAAGATTTTCTTAAGAAAAAAATTCTTAAGAAAATTAGTAAGAAAATTTTCTTACCAGTCTCCCAAGAAAATTTGGACTTATTTTAAGAAAATTTTCTTAAAATAAGAAATTTTAAAGGAAAAAATATTCTTAAAATAAGAAATTGGTATTCTTATTTTAAGAAAAATCTCATGATTTTCTTAAGAAAAAATTTCTTAAGAAAATTAGTAAGAAAATTTTCTTACCAGTCTCCCAAGAAAATTTGGACTTATTTTAAGAAAATTTTCTTAAAATAAGTTTTTTTTTTCTTAAAATAAGAAAGTGATTTTTTGCTGTGTAGGCTTTACTGATATATACGTAGTTTTGAAAGAACGAGGCAACACTATATATATACGCACAATTTGCCATAACGCTTTTGTCGTTGGTCTGGTGGGTTTTATTGATATATACGTGGCGGAAAGAACGAGGCAACACTGTATGTGCACAAGTAGGTTAAAAATTAACACTCCCCCCCCCCCCATTAAACCATCTTCACCATGTTACACCATATTCACCACCTGACAACAACTGTTCAGCTGAACCATCCTACACATCCGACACCACACTACAAGCGTCTGACAAACAAAGCATCTGACACCATCTTACACCATCTTCACCACCTGACAACCGATGGCTATATTGGACATATATGAATTTTAACAAGCCGAACGCATTTGAATTCTCAAACTTGAGGGCCTGACACTCAGACTACATGCATTTGATTACGAATTGAAGTCTCGCTTCAAAGAATGTTGAGAATTGCTAAACGCCACATACAACATGTTTTCATTCTTCTTACATCTTTTCAAATAGTTGCGACTTTACTGAAGTTAATGTTTGAGTATAAAGCTTGGTGATCTGTACAGTTTATTATCAGAATATAAATAGCTGGTATTTGCCGACTAACGTCGCTGTGGTAGTTTAATAATTATCTATCAATTGCAAGCTGACTGGTAAGTGCTTACTCATCATATAATACAAACCTCTAACCAAACGTTTAATACTAAATTTATAGAATTTACTGATGCTATATATTATTATATTATTGCAAAGTATTAATGGTTAATTATTGTATAAAGGTAAACATAGAAGTATATTTGGCATGGTATACGGTCGTATATACTAGTTCTAATAACGTAATTATATCGTATCGTTTATATAATAAATCTGTTTTGATCGAGTTACAGTATGTTTAAGTGATTGTCATCTTAACCAATTCTTGAATCTTGAAATAGGGAATAAAAGTTGACATTAAAAAAGACTGGGATATATTACATGATCTATCACTGTGCATTGGTATTGATAATTATAGCGTTTGCTTCCTTGCGAAACAATGTACTGATATTGACTAAAATCTATTGTTGAAATGTAGAATAAACTACAGGTAACGAAACATTGTGTACAAAGTCTTTCCTACACATATCTTTCCGCTGACAATAAATCATAAAGGACCACTCAGGCCTGTAACTATAGGACTTTAGATTTATCGATTTAGCGAGAAACCTATAGGGCGATCTGGGGGCATGCTTCCCCTGAAAATGTTTGATTTTCTATAAGGCCTAGAAACGATATTTCCTACATTTTGAGAGCAGTCTTAACAAAACATATGACTAATTTGACTAACAAAATATTTTTAACGAAAATTCATACCGACTCGGTAACTCTGTGTATAAAGCTGATCATAACAGGAAGCAGCTCGACGGTAGTCAAGGATGTAGAAGATATATGCATGTGGGTGGAACAAAGAGCCCTTTCTACCCTTTTGTATAAGGAAGCACAGACAACACATGTGGTTACCGCGCGCGTTGTTTCTTACCGCCGAGTTTAGCCTGCCACTACACATTGTAGGTTGGAGGCAGGGTATTAACGACTATTTTCTTAAGTTGGACAACTTTCCTCTTTTGAAAAAAACTCATACTAGACTTCGTGTGGGTTGCTGCTGTCTCCAAGAGTTTTCATCAAGGGCCAGTTCTAGGAAGGCCGGATGGCGCTATCCACGGATAATGATTTTTGCCACTATCCACGGATAATGATGCTCAAAACACTAGACAACTACGCATATGGACATGACGTTTGATAAAAAGAAACTTTATTTAATTAATAATAAAATCTAATTTGGGTTATACCAATAAACGGACTATTTTCGAATGCTTAAAAAAATCACTATCTGGCCTTCGTACAGCTGGCCCCAGGTCACCAAGCTTTCTCCCCTCATAGGCTGTGTCTAAAAAAAGAGTTTCGTTTCAGACTTCGAGAAACAAATGATTCGTTTTATAAATTCATAGTGAAGCATCCCAATTGTAATGATCAAGATGGTCCGATGTGAAATGGGCACACAAGAAGATATCAGCGTTATTTTCACCATGACGTCATCTATACAAGCTATACTATAGATGTAGACAAATTTCAAATGGCCACTAAACTAAAAATTCCTCAACTTTTGTGAAAATTATATGAAGATGGGTGGCTAGGTGTGTTTGATTTCTTTGATTGAAAATGTTGTCTTAAATATAAACTACTGAGTGCCAAAAGATTGCTTTTGCAACCACATTAAAAAGGGCTTGTGCACAAAAATGGAAGGTTTAGAATCCACCCTTTCAATAATTACGTCACAACTACACTGTTTTCTACACAATTTTTCTTTGTCTTTTCTAATTAGTTCCACCCGAGAAATCAAAGACAAAGAAAAATTCCGCTCCGCGCGCAAAATTCCGCCTATTGGAAAACAGGCTTTAGCGATCGGGCGGTGGAAACTACTTCGTAGTTCTTCGGTAGTAAAACCACATTCTATCCTTTCCTCTTTCGAATTCAATTGCTCTATAAATGTTCCATTTTTTCAAGGCTGTTCTAAATAGCCCATATTCACGGAAATTATAACAAAAAGTATTGTTTATTTTGGTAAACTATGCAGCGTACCAAAATCTTGCAATTTCTCTGCAGATAGGCCTACGTGATATGATAAAATATTACCTCAATTACTTTAGTCATTGGCTACAGCTTTTGAAACTGCCGAGTCAACATTTGAAAGCATTCTGTCCAATTTGTCTCTAAGTGGTTCACTGAAATTCTTTTGAACGCCCCTTTCAAAGCACCTGTGTGAATACTTCAACCCTTCGGCTGCAGATTCGCTCATGAAGTTTCAGTGGAAAAAAAGAACTAATGAAGTCAGTGTCAGTGACTGAAAATTATCGACGTAATAGTAATAACTTACTCACCGAGAGTGAGGGTAGTACGGCAAAATATCCAAGCGAAGTCTTGCTTGCTGTATTGACCAAGCGATAGCGAGGTCAATACAGCAAGACCGATGTTGGATATTTCACCGTACCGTTGAGGTCAGTAAGTTTTTTTTATTATATGGCTGTACGCTTGTAAAAAATGGGGGGAAAGGAGAGCAAAGTACACAGTCCGAAACATTTGCAAAAGAAAACAATTGTACAAAAATTCCTCTTGCTTTATAGCGAAATTATTCTGCAGCACTTTTTGTAGAATACTAACAAAGTTTTGGATAGTATATTTCAAGAAAAAGACGAGGTATCTAGTTATTTAATCAAAGACAACAATATGAAAATAATTACATAAATAAACAGCATCGACAAGCTTGTTTTTAGTTCGCTTCGTGTCATATTTGTGCCTCCCTAACTAACAAAAACAGAAATTTTCAGGAAACTATAAATCTGTGGCTGCTTTAGTTGTATTTTTGATTTTGATGGTGTCAAATTCCTCCTGGCCATCTGCAAATGAAGTTCGCAGCTCTTCGCATGTTCAAAACACAACTATTCTTGACAATCTTGACTGCTTTAATACTAATAGCTCAAAACTTTGTAATTTCGACCTTCGCTAACATTAACAAAAACGTAATTGAGAAAGTTCTTTAACAACATCAGTTGCTCCTTTTCTCAATTTTAAGTTTATTTTTCTTCGTTTTGAATAGTTTGAAAGACGATGCTTGTGATGTTGCTCTGAGTGTATATCCACACCGGGCAAGCTTGAAAAATATGCCTGGCCACGGTGGGAATCGAACCTACAACCTTCGGAATAGTAGCCCAATGCTCTGCCAACAGAGCTACGCGATCAGGTCGGTTCGAGTATGTGATATTTCGGAACTGAGTCTAGTTCGTTCGATATCAAAATAATATAAGGTTGTAGGTTCGATTCCCACCGTGGCCAGGCATATTTTTCAAGCTTGCCCGGTGTGGATATACACTCAGAGCAACATAACAAGCATCATATTCACCTGAGTACATTACACCAACACAAAAAAAATCATGATTACTAGAACGCATTGATATCGAACAAACTATACTCAGTTCCGAAATATCACATACTCGAACCGACCTGACCGCGTAGCTCAGTTGGCAGAGCATTGGGCTAGTATTCCGAAAGTTGTAGGTTCGATTCCTGCCGTGGCCAGGCATATTTTTCAAGCTTGCCCGGTGTGGATATACACTCAGAGCAACATCACAAGCATCATATTCACCTGAGTACATTACACCAACACGGAAAAAAATCATGATTACTACAATGCATTGATATCGAACGAACTAGACTCAGTTCCGAAATATCACATACTCGAACCTGACCTGAACCGACCTGACCGCGTAGCTCAGTTGGCAGAGCATTGGGCTAGTATTCCGAAGGTTGTAGGTTCGATTCCCACCGTGGCCAGGCATATTTTTCAAGCTTGCTCGGTGTGGATATACACCAACACAGAAAAAAATCAGTTTGAAAGACTTTTAGACTTTTTTGCCGTTCGAAACTTGGCTCTTGTCGCAGCGTTGTAGGGCAATAAAAATTGCGTACGTGGACAATACGGGAAAATCCTGCCTCGCCAGCTGCCACTCAAACTGCGCGATTCATCGAATCAAACGCTTGTTCTCATCGTGAGGTCTTCTTAGAAAATGATAAAATCATATACGAGCATGCCAATTCTAACAATCAAGATTGCCGCGCGTTATTCTTAATTTCGATAACAACATGCATATAGTCAAGAATTCAAAAACAACTGAAATTTTAACATTATACTATCACATACTTAGTCTCATGTACTTAGTCCTACATAATACGAACAAAGCTCTTTTATGAAGCCACTCGTTACGGAGTGATCGCTGACCAAATTTTTTTCTGCTCTGCATCTAGATCTCTTAATCGTTAATTGGAATTCTTCTTTGTTTTAAAACTTTTGTTTAGTATCGAGACTTCAGGCAGGAGAAGGGTTTCAAAAAATATTTCTTTCCCATTCTGTAGCTCAAATTAGATCTGCCCTCAGTCGGGCTGGGAACCGACTTGTTTCACTTGGTATTATAAATTGGGCGCTCCGCAGTGAATAGGAGACAGAGAATGGTTAAAGCAACAAGATTTTCTATCCCACCCTAAACGTTTAACGAACTACAGCAATCACACAGTGTCCTTAAACGTAAAAATCAGGGCGCTTATATAGAGGGCGGTGAAACGCGCTGATGTCGTGCTGATCGATGTGTGATGCGGAAAAGGACTGGCACGAGCGTGCTTTTCGGCAAAAGTTGACAAGGAGCGTGATTTTTCCTGCTGTTGTATTTTTGCTGTTTTTTCATTAACTACGAATGTAACGAAGAAGTAGTAACTAGTGTATCGTACGAATGCTTGTTTGGCCTGTATAGTTGAATTTTGAAAGAAATATTGAGGATAATGAGTCGGGCTTTTGATGACTTATTGCTTCAGATCATGAGAATGGATTAATTGGTAGCCTGCGTACAGGCTCTTTGAATTGAATTAGAGCCTGCCGGTTTAGTCAATAAAAATACGTCTGTGCCTATTACTATTTATAGTGTTGTCAATCAAATTAAAATACAATTAACAAATTAATACAGACATGCCTTATGTAAACAAAACGCAAATCTCGATTACTTTTTAATGTACTTTTGTATTTGAGTGAAAACTTTTAAATTAAAGCACTTGTCTTTCTTTCAAACAACCCTGAAATTCCCTTAAGTAGGAAAAATTAAGTGAATTCACAGCACCGCAAGGGCTTGAATTTCAACAACTACGGCGTACTAGAATGCTCAAGAATGCAAATTATAGTCGCCTAGCTTTGTCTCAGAGTAAAGGTGCTATTGTTGATATAAGAACGACCGTCGCCGTATTTGCCAAACTCTCTTATACAGCAAAAACATCGTTTCCGTCTAGAATATTGTTAAGAGCTTTTGACTCTCACGTACCCTTTAACTTTAAACAAAAAATTTAGTTTATACAACTCGTCTAATACATTTTATATCGCTATATATCGCGATATTTTTTACTTTGTGTCGACACCTTGAATCTATTGTTGTATAAATGTCATTACCTTTTATGGCAGTTAATAACCAACTACTCGATTTTAAGCAATGGGAACCCTGCGTCGTTTTAAGCAACGCACAGACGCGTTTTTATTAGCTAGGCCTGCAGGCTCTCTCTCAAATTTCAAAGAGAGTTCAAAGAGAGCCTGTTCGCAGACTAATTAATTGGTAACCATAGTTTTGTGTCAAAGTTGGTGAACTGATGACATCTATTAATTATCGAACCTTGCTACTTATTTGTAATAGTATCTTTGAAACAAAACTTCTTTTAATATTAACTGCTGAATTAGTTTCTTTAATATCTCGACTTCATATTACCACAGTTAATAGAAGGAGTCTCCTTCTATTAACTGTGATATTACACATTGCAAATTGTGGTCCATATACAAACAAAAATCGCGCGCCAAATTCGAATATTGCGCGCCAACACAGCATTCGAGGTGCATCAATGGACGATGTTCAAGCGAAAGTTTGCGCACAACGTAGATGATAAGAAAAATTGGTATGCATACAAATTGATACAATAAGTCGCTTCTTAGTAAAACATTCAAGTGTTTTCCATCAGAGATTAAACGGGTCAAACTTGAAGACTTGCGAGACGACGAAGGTCGCCAAGTATCGCATCGCCGTTTCTTTGCCGGTGTCCCAGGATTTTCGCCCCCCCCCCCTACATTTTCGCCCCCCAGGGGGCGAAATTCCTAGGAATTTCGCCCCCCTTTAGAAACTTCACCTTTTCTTTAGGATTTTCGTCCTCCGTTCAAAATTGAACTGAATACGTTATAACTGGCACAACAGATGTTATGTTCTCGACGCTTCGGGCAAGTAAGGCATTCGAATTAGTGCTATCAGAGCAAAGTCGGCTGCTGCTATTATCATGGTTATAATTCAACAAACCTTATTTCTGCGCGAATTATATATATATATATATATATATATATATATATATATATATATATATATATATATATATATATATATATATATATATATATATATATATATATATATCAATAGACCGCAAACGGCAAACAGTGCACGAAGTCTTTTTATTTTAAAATCGGTAGGCAAACGCCAAAGCTAGTGCAAATTTGTGTTTATATTATAAAGACTAATTTATGGAGACTCTTGTGTTCAGAAAGATGCAGTCATCTTTTGCTGACAGGTAGGTTAAGAAGATGTAGTCATCTTTGCTATAATCAGTTGAACCTAAATTTTTATAATATTATTATAGTAACATATCTAATTATGCATGAATCATTTTATATGATATTGCGGTTGCAGCTGATACGGTAGCTATATATATAGGTCTGTCATAGTTATAATTCAACAAGCCGTATATATTTCTGCGCGAATTGTACTGACTAGAACTGGCCAGACAAATAGAATGGCTATATCAAGACTAGAGACCGCAAACAGTACACGAAATCTTTTTGTTTTAAAATCAGTGTGCAAACGCCAAAGCTAGCGCAAATTTGTGTTTATATTATAAAGACTAATTTAGTGGAGACTCTTGTGTTCAGAAAGATGCAGTCATCTTTTGCTGACAGGTTAAGAAGATATGCAGTCATCTTTCCTTAATCAGTTGAACCTAAATTTTTATAATATAATAACTACCCATACACCTATATTATGCATCAGTTCATGTTTCGTCCTCCGTTCAAGCACCGGTTTAAGCACCAGTTCATGTTAGTGGAAGCACCAGTTTCAAGATGGTGGCAATTTTTTTAGCTCTGCTAAAATCTACTATTTAGTTGATCTTTTTGAACAATTATATTGTTATTTGTTTTGTTTTTGTAATCTTATCTGTTAAAACATTGGAGATGTCGAAGAATATGATAAATTTAGAGGAGTTCAAAGCGATTTTGGACGAAAAATTGGCTCCACTAAAATCGGAGATTTCAGAAGTGAAGGCAAAGTCTGAAGAAATGAGAGCGTTTCTTGATATGGCAAATGAAAAGTATGATGAAATTATCACAAAATTAGCTCAGCGTGATGCTGAAATGAAAGACATTAAAACAGAAAATAAAATTTTGAAAGCAACTATAAAAACTATGGATGATCAAGTAAGACAGCTGACGGATTCAGTTAATGACCTTGAGCAATATTCAAGACGCGAATGTCTTGAAATACAAGGCATTCCATTAAAGAATTTTGATGATACTAATTCTATTGTGGTGAATGTCGGCGAGCTAATGGGTATAAATATTAAGGAGGAAGATATATCGGTCAGCCATCGCCTACCAATAAGATCAAACTATAGAGGCAAGCAAGCAGACCCGACCATTATTGTAAAATTTGTTCGCCGTCACACCAAGGAAATATTTTATAGAGCACGAAAAGAATTGAAAAATAAGACATCGAAAGACCTGGGCTATGTAAAAACGAACTTTATCTACATCAATGAAAGTTTAACTGAGAAAAATAAATCCCTATTTGGAGGGGCAAGGAGAGCGAAGAAGGAGTTGGGTTATTCTTTTATATGGACAGCAAATGGACGAATCTTTCTAAGAAAGGACAAGGATAGTCCTGCAATACTCATAAAAAGCAAAGATGATATTAGTAATCTGTTACGAAATTCAAGATAAGTATCATCAATACAAGTTTATTTGCTTCTCACCTGAACAAACTTTTAATTCTAATAGTTATAATAATTGCCTACATAACTATTAATATAATTCTTATTAATATAATTTATAGCTTTAGTCACTATAATTTTCTGTTGCTGTTGTGTGCATGCACCACTGCCGTTTGTTATTTTCAGATAATCTTAAATTTTAACAATGGCTAATATCATTAACAATAGGACAAATGTGGGTGAAAGGATAGCACAGCTTGGTAATCTACCTTTTCTACACCTTTCCTCGCCGATTTCAGATATTCCACAGCTTAAAAATTTTGATATTGATTTGAATTTACCGTTTGAACATAATTTCAATTATTATTGCACTAATGAGTTTTGCAATGATTATGATATTAAACAATGTTCATTGGACCCCATAACATTTTCTGCTTTAAACTGCAATATACGAAGCTTGGCAGCCAATTTCGATAATTTACATAATATGTTAGTCGAATTAAACTTTCCCTTTTCTCTAATTGGTCTTACAGAAACTAAATTCAGAAAAGACATTGAACATGTAACAAATGTTGACATGCCAGGATATGATCTTATTTCACAACCAAGTTTGTCTAATGCAGGAGGTGTTGCTTTTTATATATCACATAATCTAAATTACATTATCCGAATTGCTTTTACTACCTCCAATGTGGACTTTGAAGCTCTTTGGATAGAACTCCATTTTAAGGGAAAACAAAATTTATTGTGTGGAATTATTTATAGACATCCTAATGGGAATCTAGATAATTTTATGAATTACATCAATCAGACAATTGAACAAATTCACCAGGAAAATAAATTATCACTTGTGATGGGTGATTTTAACATTGATCTTTTGAAATCCCACACATCATCTGAAAACTTTATAAATAGTATGAGTTCTTTCTTCTATCTTCCTCATATTCTTCAACCAACTAGAATAACTGATCATTCTTCAACTTTGATTGATAATATATTCTTCAACTCAGTTGAACACTTTACTATAAGTGGTAATGTGGTATATGATTTAACTGACCACCTCTCCAACTTCATCATTTTTCATAAGTTTTCCTCCCTCCCATCGAGTATTAATATATATAAAAGGGACTCCTCAAAATTTGATGAAATTGCGTTATTAAATGAAATTAAAGAAATTAATTGGAAAATAACATTCCCATCTGATAATAATCCAACTAACATGTTTCATTCTTTCTATGATAAAATTTCAACAATAGTAGATAAACATATCCCCATTAAGAAAATAAGTAAAAGACAATTGAAATTTAATTCAAAACCATGGATAACTTCTGCAATTAAGAAATCAATTCAAGTTAAGAATAAACTGTACAGGGTATATCTGAAGACAAAATCTTCATATTGTCATAGCAAATTTAAATATTATAGGAACAAGCTAAATCATCTCCTGAAAATAGCTAAAAGACAATATTATAATAATTACTTTATCCAAAATGTAAATGATAGTAAACAATTATGGAAAGGAATAAAAGAGATAATAAAAACTAAGCCAAATACTAATCAGAAAAGTATAAAAATATTTGACAATAATGTAGAAATAACTGATCCAAAGATGATTGCTAATGCTTTCAATAAATACTTCTCAAATATAGGTAATAATCTATCTAATGTAATACCTAATGTTCAAAACTCGCCTCTAGATTATTTAAAAACCCCAGTACAAAATAGCTTTTTTATGTTCCGAGTAACTAGTGACGAAATTGTGACTGAAATTTCTAAGCTTAAAAATGGCAAGGCCGCCGGCCCATTTAGTATACCTGTTCACATTCTCAAAATCCTTAAATTTGCAATTTCCGAGCCTTTAGCAACTTTATTTAACACTTCATTTGAGACAGGAATTGTTCCAACAAGTTTTAAATTAGCCAATGTTATACCAGTGTATAAGAAGGATTCGCCATCCAGCCTTTGCAACTATAGACCAATTTCCCTTCTTTCTATTTTCAATAAACTTTTAGAAAAACTTATGTGTTACCGTTTACTTGACTTCCTCAAGAAGAAAAATGTGCTTTATGCGAACCAATTTGGTTTTCGTAGAAATTATTCAACAGAATATGCCATTCTTAAAATAACTGATAAAATACAAAGAGCTATTGATGAACATGATTATTCGCTTGGAATCTTCTTGGACTTTAGTAAAGCTTTTGACACAGTAAACCATGAGATTTTAATAGAAAAGTTGAATTACTATGGAATTAGAGGATTATCCAGTAAATGGTTCACCTCGTATCTTTCTGATAGACAACAAATAGTTAAAATAAATAACATAAATTCTGACCCCTCAACAATTTCCTGTGGTGTACCTCAAGGATCTGTTCTTGGTCCAATATTATTTTTGATCTATATAAACGATTTTCATCACTCTTCATCTTTATTTGACTTTCATTTATTTGCTGACGATGCAAACTTATTTTATAAAAACGCAAGTTTAGAAAATCTAGAATTTAACCTAAACCAAGAGTTAGATAAGGTTTACATTTGGCTTTGTGCTAACCGGTTATCTTTAAACATAGAAAAGTCAAACTTTGTTATTTTCCATCCATCTCAGAGAAGGTTACACTCTACCATTCAGTTAACCTTGAATAATATTCAATTGGAACAAAAAAATTGCATTAAGTATTTAGGCGTTCTTATTGATTCACACCTCTGCTGGAAACCTCAGATTGAATATATAGCAAAAAAAATTAAGAGAAGCATTGGTGTCCTATCTAAGTTGCGCTATTTTTTTAGTACTAATACATTGATAACTATGTATTATGCCATGGTTTATCCCTTTCTAATATTCTCGATAATTAGTTGGGGAAATACTTACCCTTCAACTATTCAGCCACTTTTTGTGCTGCAAAAAAAGGGCTATCCGCATTATGACTTTTTCTAAATTTGATGAGCACTCTAGCCCAATATTTAAATCATTGAAGATTATAAAGCTGTGTGATCTTGTCACCCTACATATTGCAATATTTATGTTTAAATTTCATCATCAGATGTTACCTCCTGTCTTTGAGTTGTTTTTTACGCCAGTGGAAAATGTTCATAATTATAATACACGTTCACTGGCTACACAGTCTTACTATCTCCCAAAAATAAGAACAAATTATGGTAAATTCAACGTACGATTTCAAGGACCTATAGTTTGGAATGCAATTGATTTTCATGTTAAGTCTCTTTCATTTAAAAAATTCAAAAAATATATAAAATAAGATTTTATAAGTAAATATTAATTTTGTAAAAATAATAAAAAAACTCCAGTATATGTTTATTTGTATTATATAAGTCGTCTGTCTTTGTGTGTATATACAGTATAATTGTAATCTTTGCTATAAGTTTGTATGTGTGCTTTATGTAATTTAGTAATCAACTTGTAAACTGGCTTCCCAGTTTCTTTAGCTTTGTGGTTATTTTGGGAAGTCAGTGTCCTAAGTATTGTAAATTTTTTTATGTGTAAGCTTGTACGGTATATTTATGGATTAAAATAGTTGTTGTTGTTGTTATGAATCATTTTATATGATATTGTGGTTGCAGCCGATACGGTAGCTATACATAGGTCTGTATTATCATAGTTATAATTCAACAAGCCTTATTTCTGCGCGAACTGTACTGACTAGAACTGGCCAGCCAAATATAGAATATATATATAGCTATATCAAGAGACCGCAAACAGTACACGAAATCCTTTATTGTTTTAAAATCAGTGTGCAAACGCCAAAGTTAGCGCAAATTTGTGTTTATATTAATTATAAAGACCAATTTAGCGAAGACTCTTGTGTTCAGAAAGATGCAGTCATCTTTTGCTGACAGGTTAAGAAGATGTAGTCATCTTTGCTTAATCAGTTGAACCTAAATTTTTATAATGAAAACACATCCTATTATGCATGAATCATTGTATATGATATTGCGGTTGCATGCAGCTACTGTACAATAGGCTATAGCCTGTTTAGGCTATATACAATAGGTCCGTATTATCATGGTTATAATTTAACAAACCTTATTTCTGCGCGAACTGTACTGATTAGAATGGACCAGCCAAATAGTGAAATATAATGTATATATCAAGACTAAGAGACCGCAAATAGTACACGGAATATTTTTGTTTTTAAATCACTGTGTATGCAAACGCCAAAGCTAGCGCAAAGTTGTGATTATATTATAAAGACTAATTTAGTGGAGACTAGCTCTTGTGTTCAGAAAGATGCAGTCATCTTTTGCTGACAGGTTAAGAAGATGTAGTCATCTTTGCTTAATCAGTTGAACCTAAACTTTTATAATATAGTAAAACACATCCTATTATGCATGAATCGTTGCCAGTATGATATTGCATGCGGTTGCAGCTGATACGGTATATATAGGTCTGTATTATCATAGCTATAATTCAACAAGCCTTATTTCTGCGCGAATTGTACTGACTAGAATTACTGGCCAGCTAAATATAGAATGGCTATATCAAGACTAGAGACCGCAAACAGTACACGAAATCTTTTTGTTTTAAAATCAGTTTTCAAACGCCAAAGCTAGCGCAAATTTGTGTTTATATTATAAAGACCAATTTAGAGGAGACTCTTGTGTTCAGAAAGATGCAGTCATCTTTTGCTGACAGGTTAAGAAGATGTAGTCATCTTTGCTTAATCAGTTGAACCTAAATTTTTATAATGAAAACACATTCTGTGTTCTATGGAATTGGTATATATCTGCGCGAGTTGCAACTACATCTCCTGGCTATTCTCATTTAGAATCTAACCAAATAAAACCTATATAGGATATAACTGAATAGCCTCACGAGTACAGGCTTCTGTAAGCAAGTTCCAACCGTCAATATCGCATGTTCACCTGCTCTATATCATAATAAAATGTTTGTATTGCATTTCACGGGATTTCACAAGACTAGTAACTTATTTCTAAATATTGAACTAAATGCCACATGCTAATTTTCATATACCCACTGTGAACAGAACCAGATTGATGACAGCTTTGCCTATTAATTTTATTGGGATTAGGCATAATTGCATCCGGCGGAGTGCTCAAATTTTGTGAGTTTTTCGGCCGGATAAAGGGCAATAAATTTGTGGGAAAAAATTCTGAAGCGGTTTGACGTTGTGAATAACGTACACTTCATTTTATTTGTTTATTTATGAAGTACATGTTTGTAAATAAAATACATTATTTTGAGTTTGGAAAAATTACCACAGATTTTTCTCATCATTTAATTACACGTATATACTTTTATCGTTTTGCGC